AGTTTATTCACTATAAACATATTTTGGGCTAGCCTGCGATTTTGATTTATTTCACATGGTTAAAGGTGCTAGACTGATAACTAACACAAATTGTAATTTTCTAAGCTGTGCTTGACTCTATTGTTGTTGCTGATTGTATCACTTGCACTAGTGTTGTGATTGCTAATCAGTTATCTTTCCTGGTATAATGAAAATAAGACTGCCCCAGAGTCATTAGAGACTCAAAAGAAGTTATATCTGGAAGATACCTCTGAGAAGCAATCCTAAATTTTCTAAATACAAGCAACAAAGATACTTACAATAGGCAATATTGAAGTATCAACCAGGAATTAAACCAAGGAGTGTAGCAACAACAGTAATAGAAATGAAAAGACATTCATGCAAGACAAAAATCAAGTCTTCCAGCCTACCAATGGCAAATTTTGGGGGCAACAAAGTGAAAAAGTCTGATAATCAACCACCTGGACACCCTGAACTAATAGTACAGGAAGTAACAAAACAGATGAATGAGGTTCTAGAAAAACTCAAAACAAAAATAATAACAATAATGACAGAGATGATGAGCAGAATAAAATATATGATTAGAGTCTCAAGAAGAAAAATAGCTAAAAAACTAGATGAGTTCAAGACTATGATGCAAGCCATGAATGCTCAGCATAGGAAAGATATCAAAACCAGAAATGTACAACATAGGAAAGAAATGGAATCCATGAAAAAGATTTAAATTGATATCCAGGAGATTAAAAACTCTATTGAAAGTATCCACAGTAGACTGAGACAGTCAAAACACAGAATATTACGCATAGAAGACAAGATGCCATTCAGTGACCATGAAAAGACAGATCTCTTAAAAATAGTAAGGAACCATGAGAAATCAATCCAAATGCTCCTAGATGACACAAAGAAGAATAATATAAGATTTATAGGCATTCACGAAAAAGTACAAATGACATAAATAAACTGTTCACAGAATTAATGATAGAAAATTTCCCAAACAGAGCAAAAGAACTTGGAATACAGATAAGATAGGCATATAGGATAAAAAAGAAAGAAAGAACAACTACACATAATAGTCAAGATCCTGGAAATACAATAGAACAAAATACTGCAAGCAGTTAGAGAAAATAAACAAATCACATGCAAAGGAACCCATCAGAAACAGAGCAGACATTCCAACACAAACCCTCAAGTGGAGAGCCTGGAGTGAGGTATTGCAAGCCTAAAAAGAAAACAACCTTCAACCTGACTGATGTATCCTGCAAAACTAAACTATCTTTCAAAATGGATGGGGAAATGAGATACTTCCAAGACAAAGAACACCTGAGAAACTTCAAGAATACAAAACCAGCACTCTAAACAATTTTTAAAAATATCCTAGAAAAAGACAATGAAGGTCACAACTCCAATAGGATCAAAAGAGCAAAGCAAAATATTTAACAGAAAGGCAAGAAATTGAAGGGAGGGGGGAATAATTAAAAAGAGCCAACAAAAGGAAAACAACATGACAATGATAAGTCAATAAATATCAGTAATAACCATCAATGTTAATGGCTTCAATTTGCAAATCAAAAGAAACAGAATGGGAGAATGGATTAAGAAGCAAAACGCAACAATATCCTGTATACAAGAAATGCACCTAGTTCAAAAAGAAACTCATAGACTGAAAGTAAAAGGATGGAAAACAGTTCTCCATGAAACATGAACCCAGAAATGAGCAGGAGTAGTTATCTTATTTGTAGAAATGGTAAATTTCAAATGAAAACTAATTAAGGCAGACAAAGAAGGTCACTTCATCCTTATAAATGGAACAATACCAGAGGAAGAGATGACAATCATAAATATATATGCACCAAATACTAATGCCCCAGCTATACAAAACAAATATTAAGGGACATGCAAAGCCAAATAAGCACTAATACAATTGTAGTGGGGGACCTAAATACTCCGCTATCACAGATAGACAGATCAGAGGATCAACACCTACTTTGAGAAACTGTACTATAATAAAATGGAAAACACAGAAGAAATGGACAGATTTCTTGATACTTATGAATTACCAAAATTGAACAAAGAGGATATAAAAATTCTAAACACCCCAAATACACTCAGTGAGATTAAAAATATAATTAAAAATTTACCAACAAAGAAAAGCCCAGGTCTTGTTGGCTTCACTACTGAATTCAAGACATTTAGAGAAGAACTACTGCCACTACTCTAAACTTTTCAGTGAAATTGAAAGGGAAGCAATACTTCCAAATTCATTCCTGGAAGCAAGTGTTGCTTCGATTCCAAAACCAGAGAAAGATCCAACCAAAAAAGAGAAGTATAGTCCAATCTCTTTAATGAACATAGATGCAAAAATCCTCACTAAGATAATGCAAACAGAAGACAGAGGGTCATCAAGAAGATCATACACCCTGACCAAGTCAGATTTACTCCAGCAATTCAAGGATGGTTCAACATATGTAAACCAATAAATGTAATACACTATATTAACAGAGTCAAGGACAAAAACCATCTGATCATCTCAATAGAAGCAGAAAAATCAGTTGACAAAATTCAACTCCCATTCATGATAAAAACCCTGCAGAAAATTGGAATAGATGGTCTATATCTCAACTTAATAAAGGCTATGAAAAACCAACAGCCAACATCATATTAAATGGACAAAACTGAAAACCTTCATTCTGAAATCATGAACAAGAGAAGGATATCCACTATAAACACTCCTATTCAATATAGTTCCAGAAACATTAGCCACAGCAAGTAGGCATGAAAAATATTAAGCAATAAAGATAGAAAGGAAGAAGTTAAATTGCCATTGTTTGCTGATGATATGATACTCTACATAGAATACCCCAAAAACTCTGCCAAAAGACTTCCACATGTAATTGACACTCTCAGCAGAGTAGCTGGCTACAAGGTCAACACTAAAAAATTAATAGCCTTCTTGCACACAAATAACAGATTCACTGAGAGAGTAATTAGGGAAACAATTCCTTTCACAATAGCATCCCCCCAAAAAAAAGATGTATCCAGGAATCAGTCTAATGAAAGAAGCAAAAACCCTCTCTACACTGTAAACTACAGCACTCTGAAAAAAGAGATCAAAGAGAATATAAGAAAGTGAAAAGATATCCTCTGCTTCTGTGTAGGAAGAATAAACATAGTGAAAATAGCCATACTACCAAAACTGCAATACAGATTCAATGCAATCTCTATTGAAATTCCAACATTATATTTCACAGAAATAAAGAAAATAATCCAAAATCATTTGGAATCAGAAGAGAACTAGAATAGCAAAAGCAATTCTAGGCAACAGAGACATGGCAGGGGGTATCACAAACTGCAATTTGAAACTATACCAAAAAGCCACTGTGATAAAAAACAGCATGGTACTGGCAAAGAAAACAATCTGAGGATGAGTGGAATAGACTGGTAGATACATAAACAACTCCAGATGTACTCAGCCACCTCATCTCTGACAAGGGAGCCAACCATCCTCAGGGGAGGAAAGATAGCTTCTTTAATAAATGGTGTTGGAAAAACTGGATTTCAACCTGCCACAGATTAAAACTGGACCCCTATATTTCACCATGCACTAAATTAAAATCCAAGTGGATTAAGGATCTAAATATTAAAACAGAAATACTAAACTTGCTGGAAGATAAGTTAGGCAGAACTTTCAAAGGCATTGACACAGGAAAAGACTTTATGAACAAATCCTCAGTAGCATGGGATCTAGCACAAAGAATCAACAACTGGGATCTCATTAAAAAGCTTATGCACTGCAAAAGAAACCATCAACAGAACTGAGACAACCTACAATGTGGGAAAAAAAATTTGCCCGCTGCTCCTTGGACAAAGGATTATTACCTAGAATATATAAAGAACTAAAAAAAAAAAAAAAAACAGGGCCCCCCAAATGTAAAGATCCAATTAAAAAATGAGCATCTGAAATGAACAGACATTTCTCAAAGAAGTAAAAGCAGCAAATAAATATATGAAAAAATGTTCCACATCACTGATCATTCAAGAGATGGAGATGAAAACAACACTGAGATTTCACCTCACCCCACAAAGAATGGCTGCTATCAAGAAATCAACCAATAACAAATGTTGGTGGGGTTGTGGGAAGAAAGGAACCCTGCTCCATTGTTGGTGGGAGTTAAGACTGGTGCAACCATTGTGGAAAACAATGTGGAGATGCCTCAAAAACTAGGACTAGAGGTTTCATTTGACCCAGCTGTCCCTCTGCTGGGTATCTTTCCAAAAGAATTAAAAGTATCATACCACAGTGATATATACACGCCCATGCTTATAGTGGCACAGTTTTTAATAGCTTAAACTTGGAAACAACCCAATCAGTTGGAGAAGATGTGTTCATAAAGAAGATGTATTTTTTTCTATAAAATGGAGTACTACTCAGCCATAAAGAGTGAAACTAGAGTCTAACCCAATCAGTTGGAGAAGATGTGTTCATAAAGAAGATGTATTTTTTTCTATAAAATGGAGTACTACTCAGCCATAAAGAGTGAGAAACTAGAGTCATTTATAGGTAAGTGGATGCATACTGATGCCACACTCAAGTGAAATAAATAAGACACACATGTGTAAATACTGAATAGTTTAACTGGTGTGTAAAACTAAAAGTTTAAATAAGGATCAACATGTATAAATGATATTGTGTAATAGGAAGAAAAGATCCAAAAGAGTAGGGGAAGTGGGAAGGGTAGTGGAAGGTAAGAAGGAAAAAGAAAAAACATGAGAAAAGGAAAAAATTGAAACAAAGTTTTTGCAAATAGGAAAGGTACAGGGGGTGAAAGAAGGGCAGGGGTGTGGGGAAACAAATAAGAAACAAGACATATCATGTAAAAGCACAACATCACAATGATGAATGACATCACAATGATGAATTACTATATACCTAAGAAGTACCAATAAACTGTATGAAAAATAAGAAAGAATATATAAATGTCAGGAATGTATACAATCCTTTTTTATGATAACTTGTACACAGACTTGTTATTCTTAATAAGACAGTTGCATTTTTACATAAGCTTTCATTTCTTTGCCTAGTTTTTCTTACCACTATAATGTCAATTATCCTCAGTATAAGACTTTGAAGGTGGGAGGTGTTCTTTTTAATTTCAGTTTACAAAGCACAAAACTCCACAGTGCCCTCAGACTTTAACAGAAAAGTACTAAAACCCCATATTTAGCTACTGTTCTTTTTAGCACTTTGTTATAATACACTCTCTAGGGAACACGCATCATTATTAGCAATGAAGAGTCTCATGTTTATTAAATATTTTAGTTTTCTTTTGCTTCCTCCTACCTAGTGATCCATTCATTTGTAGCTACTCAAAATTATGTAAGGTTTATAGAAATAAGGACTTTTATTTCCTGATTGCTTTATCTGTATGCATAGTAAGAATAAGAGAAACTCCAAACTTGTTGCAAACATTTCCCCAAAATGTTATTATTTTTTTCTCATTGAGTTTATTGGTACTTTTTAGGTATACAGTACAGTTACCTTCATCTTTGGGATCTTGTAGCTTTATATGACAGATCTTGGTTCTCATTTTTCCCCATACCCCTGCCCTCCCTTTACCCTCTCCACCCTTCCCTATTTACAAAGACTTTGTTTCCATTTTTTTATTTTCTTATATTTTTTCTTTTTCCTTATTTCCTTTCCCCTCCCCTTCCCACTTCCCCTACACTTTTAGTCCTTTTCTTCCTATTTCATATTGTCAAAAATGGAATACTACTCAGCCATAATGAATGAGAAATGAGTCATTCACAGATGCATATTAAGGTCATAACTAAAAGTGTAAATAAGATCCAAATGGTATAATGTCACTATTTTTAAACAATGATATTAAAACTGTTTATTTACCATGTGTATGAGTACAGATAATTTTTTAATACTACTATTTACAGATTACTACTGTTTTTAGTTTCTCTTGGCACCTCTGTACATACATTGACAAATAAAGATTGTTTTCCTTCTTTCATTATTTCTATGATGCAAACTCATATCAAGCACTGAATTAGCTGCTTGAGAAAGTAGGTGAGAAATGTGGCAAAGACCCTAAACCACATGAACTGGTGTGGAGAAAAATAATTAATTATAAATATAATGAGTAAAAATTTAAGTTTGTTTGATTGTAAAAATGTCATAAAAATCAGCAAAAATACATAGACTAGGGTGACTACTATCTGGATTATTGCAGCAGAGATAAATAAAGGATTCATTCAGATATTTAGAACTTTTTCACCTAAATAGTGACGTATGGATGTAGGAATTAAATATACTTAGGTAACAGAAACTAGCGTAACTGAGTCAGGAAAAGTCAAGAATATCTTTAAGTTGAACAAAATAGAGTTTATTTTCTGTGTTACTATCAGAACCTCCAGTAAGTTTATATGACTCTATAGCTTGTATTACATATCATATTCAGAGTTGGTTCATGTCATAAACTATAAATAGTTGGTGGTTTAATTTATAAGTTCTCAACTATTTTTGAAATTTATTCAAGCAGTCTTCTGGGGTTTTCTGCTTGACTTGGGTCTAGCAGGATGTGTTTTGTGTGATATTTAATTTTATATGCCAACCTGGGTGGGCTACAGGATAACCAAACGGCAGGAGTGTCTGTGAGAGTGTTTGCAGAAGGCATGAGAATTTCATTTAGTCCACTGACTGAAGATGATCCTCCCTATTTTGAGTGGATACAGTTCTGTCCCTTAAGGGCTAAAAGGTAGAGGAAGTATGAATTTTCTCTCTCATGTGACCTGAACTGAGAACTCCATCACTCCTGCCCTTCAACAGTACCTAGGCCTTTGGAGTCAGACTACAACTTAAACAATTGATCTTTCACTCCTGGAACTCTGGCCATGGGTTGAATGTACACCACTGACTTTCCTAGGCCTCCAGTTTGAAGATAACCACTCAAAGGTCTTTGGCTACCATGACTGCACTAGTCAATCCCTCATAATAAATCTCTTTTTTATCCCCAGACTAATAAACTCTATTACCCATAAAGTTAAATAAAATGATTGACATGGGGGATAAACCAAAATGAAGAAGTGGCTGTTCTACAAATTCCTCTTACTCTTAAGTCTAACATTAGAAAATGTTTACTTTTTAAAGTAAATTCTGGGCACTCTTATCTGATGTATCTGTTTTAGAGATTGTGTTTGTCTTTGTTGGTAATTGATTTCCCTCAATGAAACTTCTTCGAAGTTATTTACACTAATTTGAATGCTTCAGGTATCAAAAGGTAGTCATAGCATCTGGTACATGGAACATGGTCAAACCTAAACAAAAATATTAGTTAAAGCATACTTTTATAAAGGTACTGTTAATTTCCTTGATGACACAAAGGTGAAAAATGTAATCCTGTAGTCACAGATTCTCTAGCTGGAAAGTGGGATGCATTTCCGTGATTACTGACCTCAAAAGTGCAAAGCTCAATCTATCCCTGGATTACAGAGAAAATTTCCATCTGTAATGCACTGTGCTTCTCAAGGTGATATCTTCCTTCAACTGCTCTAATAATTGCCAGCTAAATTTTCATCCATGTGTGTGGGCTTTTCAATTTCCTATCACAAACTTTCTTTATAGATTGTAAAGAAATTTTAATGTAGGATTTTTGAACAGGAAAATGGCACAAACTTACCTGAAAGTAATTATCCTTTCACCACTTCATCAGAAAGCTGTCTTGGAAGACATCTGCTGGGCACTACCCAGAATACAGTACTATCTAAATATGTTATTATTTGCAATTTCTCACAATATCAGGGTTAGATGGAAGACTCCATTTAAATTTTATTTTTGGTTTACAAGCATGTAAGATATGTTGTTCCTTAAAAAAAAGAATATCCATGTATTCAAATAGTTAATAAGTAATAAGATACATAGAAGGTTGAATTCAGATTTAAAAGAGATATTTAATGGACAAATAAATGATGGATATGACATGTCTGACTTTACCATCAGTATTGCATAAAGGATTAGTGTCAAAAATATATATGAAATTTATTCAACTAAAAAGAATAAAAACAAATTACCCAAGGATCCCACAATGTATTGAATACATGTTTGTCCAAAGATGGTGTAAAACAGCCAACAGGTACATGGAAATATAGTCAACATTACTAATCATCAGGAAAAATGAAATCAAAGCTACAAAGAAGTATCTCATTCCTGTTAGGAAAACTATTATTTGAGAAATGGAATATAATAAGTATGATAAGATTATGGAGAAATTGGAATCATTGTATACTGCCAGTGAGACTGAAAAGTGGCCCGGCCACTATGGAAGTTTTTTAAAAATTAAAAATAGAACTACCTTATGACTGAGAGATCCCAAATTTGGGTATCCACCCAAAAGATTTGAAATTAAGCTTATATAGAAATAGGGCTATGCTTATATTTATCATAACATTATACACAATAGCCAAAATATGTAAAAAACCCAAATATCCATTGAGGCATGAATGGATAAGGAAAATGACATATATATTGAACACTATTTGACCTGAACAAAAAAAATAATTGTACTGTAATGTACTGTATACTACAAATAATCCTGGGAGGTATTACATTAAGTTAAATAAGCCAGTAACAGAAGGTCATGTACTGAGCAGTTTTGCCTATAGAAGGTATCAAAATTGTTAAATTCATAGCAGCAGAAAGGAGACTGGCATTTTCACATTTTTAGAAGGGGAGAAGGAGTTAATATTCAAAGGACGTAAATTTTCAGTTATGCAAGATGAATAAACTCTAGAGATCTGTTATACAACAACATACCCATAGTTAATCACATAATATCATATTCTTAGAAATTTGTTAAAATGGGTATATATTATTTTAACTGTTCTTACCAAAATAAAAATATTTTTTTCTTTTATTGTATTTATTGGTATAATCTAGGTATATAATACAGTTACATTCATTATTGGGATCCTGTACCTTTACATGATAGGTCTTGATTCTCATTTTTTCCCTTATTCCTGACCTCCCTTCACCTGCTCCTCCCCTCCCCATTTACAAAATCTTTATTTCCATTTTTTCAGTTTCTCATATTTTTTTCCTCTCCCTTATTACCTTTCCCCCACCCTTCCCACTCTCCCTACACCTTTAGCCCTTTACTTCCTATTTCACATTATTAATTATCTCATTAGGATCCTGTGTACTATTATAGTGTTTCACACCAGAGAAACTATTCGGTATTTCAGTTAAAGAAATCTCTCTATGAACATTAAAAACAGGGAATCCTAAAATAAAACTAAAAAGGAAATTAAAAGAGAAAAGGCAATAATGTAAGATTAAAATAAACCTAAACCAAAATAAAAATCTTAATCTAAACATTTATAATAATATCAGATTTTGAATAATATTTTCTAGATTACTAGTAATATTATTAATTATGGTTTATGATTTACACATTTGTTATTTATACTTAACTCATGGATGGGGAATATATCCTTTAAGGTCATAGAGTTTCAGGTTTGCCAAATAAATATTTCTTAATTAAAATTAATTAAATTAATTTAATTTAAGAAGGAATAAAATTAGAGAGCATTCATTGCTTTTCTCTATGATGCTGAGTCTTTTTAAATGCCTTTCACTTTACTTTCCAGCAAATTTTATATTTAATGGATAACAGTCATTAAGAATGTTGCTCCACTCATAAGAATTATAGCAAGTTTTCTATTACATAAATGTGGTTGATGAAATTTAGATTATATTTTAATATCCATAATTCTTGTTTGTACTTCTCTTTCTCTGTTTTCCTGTCTCTGTCTCTGTCTCTTGCACACATGCATGCACGCACACACACACACACACACACACACACACACACACATACACACATTACCCTTCTCAAGTTTTGTACTAGTTTGAAAAAGAATATGATGGAATTTCAGAAAAAATTTCCCATACCTAATGCCTATTTCTCTTCTATTTTCTACATTGTATATATTATGCTTATGTATCTACTTATATATGTATTGAGTGATTATTGGGATTTTAATAAGGTATATTTAACACCTACACCTAAAGTGTATTAATGAATATAATTATCACTAGACAAATTATTTGAAAATATATTAAAGGGACCAACAAGTTTTATTCATTCATATTTCATTTTAAAATGAGTTCCTAGAGAAATTGTAAGATAGTAAAAGGGATTTCTAAAGAATAAATAAAAATCATAAAATTATACAAAATATAGGTATACTTATAAAATTTATTTCCTGTTTCTGGATATTATTTCTGCTGTTTCTAGAGTTTTTTTCCCATTGAACAAAACTCGATACAATTTTATTTATAAAATTATATTGTTTATATTGTTGCAATAAACAAGCATCAGAAAATGGAGTGTCAGAAGCACACGAAAGGTAAATTTAATGAAAATATATATTTAAAAAATGCTTATAAACTGTTAGCAAAGGGTAGAATGAGCAAGGATGATGAGCACCAAAGGAATTTGAAAGGGCTCCTGAAGTTTCATACTTTTTACAATTGCCCCTCAACGTGACCCTAATGCATGACACCAAGTCATTTCAAGCACTTGAAAAAAATATGGTCTTCCTTGTCATATTCCTGAAGGCTTCCTTGACTTGCTGATTCCCTAGGCTATAAATAAAGGGTTTCAGCATGGGGGCTACAGAGGTATTTAGCACAGCAACTCCCTTGCTTAAAGATACTCTTTCTTCTGCAGAAGGTTTAATATACATAAAAATGCAGCTGCCATAAGATATAGAAATGACAATCATGTGGGATGAGCACTAGAAAGGGCTTTTGTCCTCTGAATAGTAAAAGGAAACTTCAAAATTGTTCTGATAATATATACATAGGATAGGAATATTAATGACAAAGTGAACATAAGAGTAAACACAGCACAGGAAAATCCCATTATCTCCAGGAATTTTGTGTCTGAACAAGAAAGTTGCAGCAGAGGAAAATAATCACAAGTAAAATGGTCAATAATATTGGACCTACAGTAATCGAGCTGTAAGAGCAACATGAGCAAAGGAAAGATGATCAAGAATGAAATCAGCCAGGAAGCAAAGACAAGTATCATGCAGACCTTTTGATTCATGATGGTCAAGTAATGCAGAGGTTTGCAGATGGCAACATAACGATCATAGGACATGACAGCCAGAAGGTAAAATTCTGTGACTCCCAAGAGAATGAAAAAAAAACAACTGAGTTACACAGTTATTAAAGGAAATGGATTTATCTCCTGAAATAATGGTGCCCAGAAATTTAGGAATACTGACAGTTGTGAATGAAACTTCTAATAAGGAGAAGTTCCTTAGGAAGAAATACATGGGGGTCTTGAGGTGGGAATCCAGCAAGGTAAGGGTGATGATGGCCAGGTTCCCGGTGATGCTGAGCATGTAGGTGATAAAGAGAAATATAAAGATGACAACCTGGAGCTCCGGGTCATCAGACAAGCCCAAGAGGATAAACTCTGTTATTTCTGAATGGTTTCTCATTCTTTAGTTGCTGATTTCTTTTTCTCTTGCCAAACCTATAGGTGAAAGGATAAGCTTGAGGAGTAATAAGTATCCAAGAGTGGGAGCTTGGATTGTGCTGAAATAGTGTACCATGCCCACATTCTAGGGAAATTTAAAGTCACCCGATAATGACCATGTGTAGGACCCCAACCACTGTGTAGGCCCTAGAGAGTCTGCATATAACAAAGTACATTCCAATCTACTCCGCTCCCTCCTATCTACAGATAAGATTAGAGGAAGTGTATGTAAACTTGGTATGAGTAAACAAAGGTAATGTCTTAGGACTTTGATCAAGACAGGGCATCCTGAGTCTGGGTAACCAACGCAGGATGCCAGACATGTCATAAACCAGACCCCCTAAGGGATAGCAGGAAACTAACCCCCTGACCCCCTTACTGTGCTTACAATCCTTTCCACTAGTCTTCACAAAGGGACTCCATGCTAATAGGCCAGACTGTGCTTCTTCATATGCTAATTGCTACCTTGGTTAACAGCCCGCCCAGGGGCAAATGGTTTGACAAAAGGTGACCCTAGAACATTTCCTGCATAAGATAAGCAATGTGTTTGCAGTCTTGTTCTGTGAATTCCCTGACTCTTTGTTTAGTAAAACCTTATAAAAAGTACCTCAGCCCCTGAGCAGTTGCCTCTCTGAGCCACCTGGTTCCGGGAGTGCCGTCTGGCCAGACTAATAAAGGTCTTTTACCATCTAGGCTGGTGTGTTCCTTCCTGGGTTTCTCGGTTCTCTGTCGTGTTCCCGGAGTCTCGCTGGGTGTTAGGGCCCAGCCTCGTGGAGGCCTTTCGGCTGTCCACGCTCCGTGGAGTGGAAGTGAGACTTTAGTTCTTACATATGATCCTTTAATTTCCTTTCTTGAAGAGAAATATTCTTTAATTAAGACATGTTAAAGAATAGTTTAGTATCCAAACTCCAATGCCTTGCCATTTCACTTCAATTAGAGAATGTATTGTCAAAAAAGAGGGCCCAGCCTCGTGGAGGCCTTTCGGCTGTCCACGCTCCGTGGAGTGGAAGTGAGACTTTAGTTCTTACATATGATCCTTTAATTTCCTTTCTTGAAGAGAAATATTCTTTAATTAAGACATGTTAAAGAATAGTTTAGTATCCAAACTCCAATGCCTTGCCATTTCACTTCAATTAGAGAATGTATTGTCAAAAAAGAAAAATAAATTCTGGACAGAATATGAAGAAAAAGGACCTTTTACACATTATTGGTTAAAATGCAAATTTGTATAGATATTAGGAAGAACAGTATGGATGTTCACAAAAAAACTAAAAATAGAACTACTATATGATACAGTTATCCTATTCCTTTGTGTATGTCCAGAGGAAATCAGTGCACAAGAGAAATATCTGTATGCCTACATTTATTTGTTTTTACCAGTTTCGTTTTATTTTTTTTCCTCATTGAGTTTATTGGTACATTTTAGGTATACAGTACAGTTACATACATTATTGGGATCTTGTACCTTTACATGACAGGTCTTGGTTCCCATTTTTTCCCCTTGTCCCTGCCCTCCCTTCAGCCCTTCTCCCCTCCCCCTTTACAAACACTCCATTTCCATTTTTTCATTTTCTCATATTTTTTCTTTTCCCTTATTAGATTTCTCCTACCCTTCCCACTTTCCCTACACCTTTATCACCTTTCTTCCTATTTCACACTATCCATTATATCATTAGGATCTTATATACTATTATGTTAGGCAGAACTCTTGAAAACATTGGCATAGAAAAAGATTTTATGAACAAATCCTCAGTAGCACGGGAACTAGCAGAAAAAAAATCAACAACGGAGATCTCATCTTATTAAAAATCTTCTGCACTGCAAAAGAAACCATCGACAGAACTAAGAGACAACCTACAATGTGGGAAAAAATTTTTACCAGCTGCTCCTCAGACAAAGGGCTACTTTCTAGAATATATAAAGAGCTCAAAACAATTTGCCTATGTTTATTATAACATTACCAAGCCTATCCAAAGTATTAAATGAGCTTATATGTCAAGCAACAGATAATGGATAAAGGAAACATGTTATACACACATGATGGAGTATTACTCACAAAAAATATCTCTGCAATTTATGACAAAAGGGATGGAACTGAAGGACATGGCATTAAATGATAAAAGCCAGACACAGAAAGAGAAGTTTCACTTGTTTTCTCTGGTATAGGGATACTAAAAAATAAGCTGCAAGTAGAATAGTTATTAATAGGCATTGAGAAGGATTCACGGGTGGGAGCAAGAAGGTGGGAGAAAGGTGGTTGAATATGATCAATGCATATTATGAATATATCATACTGAACTCTATTAGTTTGTATAATAAGTATGGATGATAAAAAAATTTTAAAAAATGATATTCTACAATTTGAAAGGAGCAAGTTTGTGAGAATATATTTCTCTGTCCAAATATTACCTCTTACCTTTAAGATTTCTTTTCAGATAGAATCACCTACATGTCATTGCTTCAATATCTACATTTTCCCCTTTGTGTAGTTTTTTTGTGTTTAAAAATTTTATTACACCTGAAATTATCAAAAATGGAAAAGATATGTCATTTTTAAAAGGTGACCATTTTGTCCTTAGTCATGTCAATTTTTGCTAACACATCACAGCTTTTCTAACTCCCATTGCTCCCACATGAGAAGTCAGATATACTGAATCCTTGCCAGGAGCACCTCGAATGTCAGAAATAGAAGAAAGAAAAATGTACAAAACAATGTGAGGTGCAAAGCCTAAGCCTGAGATGTAGTGCATGTGAATGTCTTGCAAACTTGCATGATATTAATCTCTCTGATTCCTGCTCAACCTATTTTTGTTTTCCTGTATTTGTTCTAATAATATTATTGTTATGAATATTTGAGAAATGTCTTCAGTTAAAGAGATAAATAAGAATTCAAGAAAACTATTTTAGTAGTTTTATTTAAATGATGTGGATAAGTTTTACTGATTTTCCCTTTTTAAATAAACACAGCTTTAATGATATTGCCATAGTTTATGTCCATAAGAAAAAGTGAGAATATCTAGTTTTGATTATTCCACATACTGGGTCTGAAATCACTTAATGCTCTGTGACCAGTTATTTCATCTATGTAGTTTCTTCCATAGATAAGTCAATGCCATATATTTTCTAAAATAAATTAATTTATGCAAAGCATTTGGAAAGAATTATTATCATTTAATGAAAGCTATATAGACTTGTTTTATAGAGAAAGTATTCCTAACCACTGAGCTAAACTTCTGTGATTAGGAGGAGCTAAACCTCTGGGATGGTGTTTTATGTTAAAAGTAATGTCTTAAATAAAAAGTAAATAGAATAGGAATTACCTGATTGTACAGTTATCTGTCACATTTGTACAATAAATTTTAGATTTTTTTTAACCTTGTGTATATGGCATTCACCTGTCCCACTGTTTTGTATCTGCCTCAACATTTTATCACCATGTGCACACACACACACACACACACACACACACTACTTCTACCATCACTTACCAGGATTTGATCACTGCATTTGAGGCATGTTATATATCCATAGACATCACCATTTCTACCCTGCTATTACATTAGTAATAACCTCAACCTTAGTAATAACTTATGTATTAGTAATAGCATAAAATATAAGACTGTTACTAGTTTTGTGAGCAGTACACAGCATATCTAAACAGCTCTTCTCTTATTCCCATGACACTAGGTATGTTACCCACTGTAAATATGCATGAAAACCTCAACATCTTCCTAACTCACCACATTTAGGCTGTACTTAAATCTCTGTGAACTTTACTCTTACACTATGCATTTGCAAATGTTAGGACTAGATATTCAAGCTATTTCAACATATTTCAGTTCCTAGAATTGTTATATTACGTTTAAAGGAAAAATTTGCTTCATGTTTAGTTTGTTGAAAAAACATTTAATTCAAATATTTAATTTAACTAATTTAATTCAAAAATTTAATGCCAAAAGGAAACATCTAATTCATGTTTAGTTTGTTATTGAATCACATCTGTAATTAGCCACAGTTCTCTAATTTGTGATATGTAGAATACAGCCTAGATAGTACTTGGTATTATATTTGTTTTGTAAGATGTATTTCCCCACATTAGTTACTTTACAAAAGTTACTTACATACTTCCCTTATTGAGTAAATTTAAAACAGATGATGTGTAAAAGAAATTATATTTTATTAATATAAAAATTTAAAGAAAACTTCATAAAGGGTCAGGGACTTAGTTCAGTGGCACAGTGCTACCTCACAAGTACAAATCCTGAGTTCAATCCCAGATACCAAAAAAAAAAAAAAGAAAGAAAGAAAGAAACAAAGAAACAAAGCTTCACAAAACATTAGATTTATTGGATCTTACTACACTTTGGAAGAGTGTGACAAGAGAATTTGCTTCTATTTTATTTCTGGTGCATAGATTTGCACATATATGTTATTTTTGTTTTTAATAATATTTTAAGTAAAACAATAACTTTGAAAGCATAGGGTGTTTTTGAATATTTACTCAATTGCTCTCTTCTTCAGTTAAATCTCCTTATAAATCATTAGACAACTTTCACAAAGCATAACTGCTAAATATACATTTTTGATCATGGCATACTTTTCTTTCTACCTTATGAGTTTAAAGACCTTTTTGGATTTAGACTAATACATTAGAGAACAGGATAATTGCATAATGCAAAGTGTGGACGATATTTGGCTCAGCTTTCTAATTACACTCACTACATTTCTGGCACTGCGCAAGCATTTCAGACCCTGGGTCATGACACATGGGTTCCTTCGAGAATGTCTCTCAGCCTGAATGAAAGAAAAGACTCTTCAGCAGAGTCACCTGAAAGCTTATCAGACTCATTTTACTAGAACTTCTTTTTAATGTGTTTTACAAATGTTTGACCTGACTTTCCTTAGAGAAGAATGAATAGTTTATATCTATTAATTTTAATAATTATGAACAAGCTTAATCCTCAGCGTTCATAGAGTGTGTATAGAAACAAGAAAGGGAAAAGCAAAGTTATCAAATAATATTGAATAATAATTTTATAAATGGTAACACGTGTAAGTGTTCTCGGTAAATGTCTAGTCATTTCCTCATACTTTATATTTGTTAAATAGCCATCTATCATTTCATCAAGAAAGAAGAAATAGATTAATGAGAAAATTGCCAAGTCAAAACCTTATTAATTTCTTATTTTTGGCATCATAAATTTAAGTTAGTGTCACAGAAAGCATAAAGGCTTTGTCATTAGAGAAACACATCTTTAAAATGCAAACATGTCTTAAAATAGAGTTTAATCTTTGGGTGAATTACTTAATTTATTTAGTTACATTTTCTCTGTTTAAAATGCAGTTTTAGTGGGCCAGGGATTTAGCTCAGTGGCTCTGCTGCCTACCTCGCAAGCGCAAGGACCAGAGTTCGATCCCTGGTACCAGAAAAAATAAAATAAAATAAAATAAAATGCAGTTTAAATTTCAAGGATCTTAATGAGAATGAAATAAAATTAGAAAATCAATACCCTCCCTAAATTGTGTGGCACATAGTCTCTAAGAATACCTATATTTATTTTTTCTTTTAGTTGGAATTATTTCCCAACTTCAAAAAGGGCATGCATACTTTTCCTCATTTATGGCATTACACTTTCCACTGTGTGGAACCTGTTATATTATATCTCATTTAGCTCTTAAAACACAGGTAGGAAACTTTTATTCTTAATCCCAAATGAAGCAATGAGGCTCTCAGAGATCATGTAACATCTTTTCATTTGTATGGCTAACAAATGTCAGTCCACCTAGAATTATACTTTTCCTTTAAACATAGAACTTCATAATCTGCAGAAGCACAGAGACATAGAGATGGTACATTCCTCCTTTTAATAAATAGAAAATAAATAAATCGATGTAATGAAAGAAGAGCTAGTATCCATTTCATGTATTTTCATATATCAAATATCAAAATAATACTTCAATATATCCTGCTTAGTAGGATCAGAAAATGAACCGTAAATTCTGAAATTTATGCTGAATCAATGCTGAAATTTATTTTGCACTGTTCTGTATATGTTTGACTTACCTCTACCTTTCATATAGTTGCACAAATAATCAGAATGGATGAAATTGTGAAAGTACAAGTAAATGCCACTGTTGAACATTCTCTCTCTTCAACTGATTTAGTTTTTTTATTTACAACGCTTTTGTCTTAATTTTCCATTTTAACCAAAGTGGATATATTTGTTTCACTGTAGAAAATGAGGAAAGAGAAAAGTATATAACACAAATAATACCACAAAATATTTTAAAATTGTTTGGCATCATCATTTCTACATAGATTTTATGTAGTGCGAAGGTCGTATTTTATTCATTCTTTTTGCCAGAAACTCAAGGGATTACTTCAGTGAATTAAACTTGCCCAAAGAAGAATGCCAAACAAAGGAATAAAAAACATAATGCATGTGAGTATGGAATTGGAAAGAGAAGCACAGAGGACAGTGTCCAGTGAGACAGAAGAAAATAATAAACAAACGACAACACTTTTTTCTTACTTCAGCATTATTTCTGGGACAGAGATCCAGTCAAATACAACACCACCATAACTCCTAACCTAATGTAGATCTACATCCAATATTCCATGACATTTTAAAAACTAAAATCCATTAAATTGTATAAGTATATTCATTATCTACATTACTTTTAATCAACCTTCATGAAAGAATTTTTACTACTATTCACAATTTACACTTTGTACTGAATAATAGCTCAATGGCAATAGTAATTGAAGAATTTAAAATTCACATGCCAGACACAGTATCAGAAGCCAGTATTTGCCCTGACAAAAGTAAGTGACTGAAAGCAGCTGATAAAATGTTAGAGGCTGTTAGTATAAGTTATCAAAATAGAAAATAATTCAAAAACTATTTTTTTATAAAATCATTATACCATATAACTTATTATTATTCAATGAATTTAGTGAAGTTTTTATTTCTGGACATTAACTTACCCATTATACAAAAGAGATAACTAATTTATTTTGGAATACAAGTGTGAAATTAAATAAGATATAGCACAGAATGCACCTAACCCCCAAGTGGCACAGAATAAGTGCTCTCACTAGAAAAGCTATCAGATTTCCAGGTTTTATTACAGCATTGGTGGCTACCATAACATTTACCTTTTAATATATTTTAAAAAATAAGTAGAGATAAACAAATAAAACATAAAACTTGTTATATGCTTCCAGCATATGTTGATGATAGAGAATGTTATGACTTTCAAAGTACTTCTAAGTGGAAAGGCCTAAATTCATCAGATTAATAGGAAGAATTAGACAGGAAGTGTTCCATGTAAACATCATGTGAGAAATGTGTTACAGATATTTAATACATCTATAATAATATTTAAAGGAAAATGATAATAGGAGACACCACAAAATGTAAGTCATCTTATTACAATAATGTTTACTGCTATAAAGTGTTAAGGTAAAATATTTTTATTATTAATAATAATCAGGGGGCTGGGGATTTACCTCAGTGGTTCCACCACTGGCCTTGCAAGCACAAGGTCCTGATTTTGATCCCTGGTAAATAATAATAATAATAATAATAATAATAATAATAATAAATAATAATAATAATGATGATAATCAGAAGAGTGATTTTCCATCCATAACTGAAAATGAATGATTACATGGAAACTACACATACTTCTAAAAAATGACATACCATAGTTACTTTCAGTTTACAAAGAAAGATCAAACTCATGAGCTCAGCACTACAGATAAATATCACATGCATAGTCCGAGGAAAGTAGGACATTTACTTTTTTATTCCATTATTGATCCTCAGGATTACATTCATTCTTGTTAATAATAATTTTCACTTGTTGCTACAAGACAGTGATTTATGAAGAAAGATTTTGAAAGCCTGCTTTACTTGCTGGTTCCTCAAAGTGTAAATAAAAGAGTTCAACATGGGAGCAATGGAAGTGTTGAGAATAGCTACTCCTTTGGTCAGTGATGCTCTTTCATTTGCTGAAGGCTTGACATAAATATATGCAGCACCCATAAGAGATGGAGATGACAATAGTGTGAGAGGAACAGGTAGAGAAAGTCTTTTTCCTCTGACTAGCAGAAGGGATTCTCAGAATGGTGTTAATGATGCTTATGTAGGAAAGCATCACCAATGCCAACGTGAAGAGCAGAGTAACAAAGGCAAAGTAAAAGCCAATCGTTTCCAAAAACCATGTATCTGAGCATAAAGGTTGTAAGATGGGGAAATAGTCAAAAGAGAAGTGGTCAATGACATTGAAAGCACAGAAATCCAACTTGAGAATAAGCATGAGTGGTGGGAAAATGGTCAGAAATCCTGCCAGATAAGAAATGAAGACCAGAAGAGTACAGATTTTCTTATTCATGATGGTGGTGTAATGCAAAGGCCTGCAGATGGCCACATAGCTATCACAGGACATAGCAGTGAGAAGAAAAAATTCAGACACACCCAGGGAAATGAAGAAAAATAGCTGAGCTAAGCAGTTGTTATAGGAAATGGTCTTGACTTTAGTAATTATTGAACACATGAATCTTGGAATAGAGACACTGGTGAATGTAATTTCCAAGAAGGAGAAGTTCCGGAGGAAGAAGTACATAGGAGTCTTTAACTGTGAATCTAACAAGGTGAGAATGATGAACGTTAGGTTTCCAGAAACACTCAGTAGGTAAATTATAAATAAAAAGATAAAAATTACAGCCTGAAGTTTTGGGTTGTCTGATGCACCCAAAAGCACAAACTCTGTAATGATTGTATGGTTTCTCATACCAATTTTTTTCATTCAAAAAATTTATTGCTGAAAAATAAAACAAAAAGAATGATTAAGTTGAATGTGAAAAGACTGAAATTTCAAACATGATGTGAACTGTCTCCAGTGAAATAAAGCCATAGACCATTTTTCCCTAAGTATTTTTGTAATGTTTTCTCATTCTTATTAAAGTAGAATGCATGTCTGATTCATCCTCTGTTAAAAAATAATCCTGTATACACAGGTCAATGTTTAAAGTCTTCTCATGAGTGATCATACATAAAACCTCTACACAATCACATTCTGTATACATGAAGTGTAAGTTTGAATTAGAAATTTCTGCAACAGTTTTTTTAAATTATACTTATAGCTTGAATATTGAGACTTCCTTCTTCAATTTCCAAACATTTTATTTTTTAGGACTGAAATATCTAACTTTTAGCTTTAGTTCTGCTATCTTTTACAAATTTCCAAAACTTACTATTGAAAGTTGATACTAAGCTTATTAAGAGTAATGATAATTTTTGTACTTCTTATGTACTTTAAAAATACAATTGTAGAATTAGATGTGGCTTTAGTCACAAAACTATTGAACAAAAGTTGCCTTGGTTGCAAACAAGATTAAAGTTGATTTCTTGAAAGAAAACATAGGCTAGACAAATTAATTGAAACTCACAGAGCCAGAGGTCAGTTTTATAGTTCTACAACATATCAATGCATTTATATCACTTGGTATGCCCTTTAAGTTAATAATGGGCTTTTATTGTTACTTTATTCTGTTTGTTATTCCATTTGAGGAAAAGAAGGAACTCAAAAAGGAGATTTTGAAGTCAAAATATAATCACCTCTTTTCCTGAACACAAACAAAAATAGAAACAATTTTCTACAGGCTTTGCTTTCATAGAAACCACTAAACTGTAAAATGTAACCTATATGGCATATATAACATATCTTAATTTTTAAATCCATTTTCCCACACCTTTATTCCCTTCCCTCCTTCTTTTGATCCCCTTCTTCTGTGAGAAAGGTTTGAGAGTTCTTTCAGTAAATTTCCAAGAAACATTGTATTAAAATACTTAAATGCAAAACATTTCAATGCTCTAGATAAGACAAAGACAGAATACTACTCAAAAATGACACAGCTTTAGACAATGATAACAGAGGTAAATTGATGTTATTTTTATTTCAACTGAAGAAAGAAAAGATGAAAGCAGAGATAAATTCAAGAAATGCAATGAGATCATGGCATATCTTTCTGGAATGACAAGACAGACAGAGAGATAAAAGCAAAAAAATACCTACTGATCAGCTGATATAGTAACCTGATTTCCCTTTGCCTGTAGTTAATTTTCCTAAATTACAGTTAGGCTTTGTGTATACTCAGGAGATATTTTGTCCTGAATTCTTCAGGGGTTGGTTAATCGAGGACTGACCTCCTACTCCACTGTGGATCATTCTTTGAAGTTCACTCTCATATTTTATTTATTTATACATCTCTTCCAATACAGAGCAAAATGAATAACTAAAATACCAGTATCTTTACAGTAAAAAGAGTAGTTTAAACCTTACTTTTAATTGTTTTTTTTTTTCTCATTGAATTTATTGGTACATTTTAGGGATACAGTACAGTTACATTCATTATTGGAATCTTGTACCTTTACATGACAGGTCTTGGTTCTCATTTTTTCCCAATACCCCTGCCCTCCCTTCACCTCCTCCACCTTCCCTATTTATGAAACCTTTGTTTCCATTTCTTTGTTTTCTCATATTTTTTATTTTCCCTTATTTACTTTCCTCTACATTTCCCACTTACCCTACACCTTTAGCAGTTACATTCATTATTGGAATCTTGTACCTTTACATGACAGGTCTTGGTTCTCATTTTTTCCCAATACCCCTGCCCTCCCTTCACCTCCTCCACCTTCCCTATTTATGAAACCTTTGTTTCCATTTCTTTGTTTTCTCATATTTTTTATTTTCCCTTATTTACTTTCCTCTACATTTCCCACTTACCCTACACCTTTAGCCATTTCCTTCCTATTTCACATTGTCAGTTACACCATTTGGATCTTATTTACAGTTTTAGTTCTTTACACCAGAGAAACTATTTGGTATTTATACATGTGTGACTTATTTACTTCACTTAAGAGTATGACTTCAATATGCATCCATTTTTCTATGAATGACTCTAATTTCTCATTATTTATGGCTGAGTATTATTCCATTTTATAGAAAAATTAGCTGTTTCCAAGTTTAAGCTATTACCAACTGTGCCACTATAAACATGGGTGAGCATATATCACTGTGATATGATTCTTTTAATTCTTCTGGAAAGATACAAAGCAGAGGGATAGCTGGGTCAAATGGAACCTCTAATCCTAGTTCTTTGAGGTATCTCCATATTGGTTTCCATAGTGGTTGAACCAGTCTGCACTCCCACCAACAATGGAGAAGGATTCCTGCCTTCCCACAACCCCACCAACATTTGCTATTGGTTAATTTCTTGATAGCATCCATCTGGGATGAGGTGGAATCTCAGTGTTGTTTTCATATGCATTTCTTGAATGATCAGTGATGTGGAACATTTTTTCATATATTTATTTGTTGCTTTTACTTCTTTGAGAAATGTCTGTTCATTTCATATGCCCATTTTTAAATTGGGTCTTTATATTTGGTTGGGCCTGATTTTTTTGAGTTGTTTATATATTCTGGATAATAGTCCTTTGTCTGAGAAGCATCTGGTAAAATTCTTTTCCCACATTATAGGTTGTCTCTTAGCTCTGTTGCTGGTTTCTGTTGCAGTGCAGAAGCTTTTTAATAAGAGGAGATCCCAGTTGTTGATTATCTGTGCTAGTTCTCATGCTACTGAGGATTTGTTCATAAAACTTTTCCTATGCCAATGTCTTCAAGAGTTGTACCTAACCTATTTTCCAGTAAGTTTAATATTTCTGTTTTAATATTTAGATCTTTGATCCACTTGAATTTTAGTTTAGTGAATGGTGAAAGATTGGGGTCTAGTTTCAATCTGTGGCAGTTGAAATCCAGTTTTGTTTTGTTTTTTAGCAAACATCTGTTAGGCTATGTTTCCTCCAGTGAAGATGGTTGACTTCTTTGTCAAGGATGAGGTAATGGAGTATGTCTGGAGTTGTGTCTTCTAATTGGTCCACTGATCCTCAGGTCTCTTGCTTTGCCAGTACCATGCTGATAATATCACAGTATCTTTGTAGCATAGTTTCAAATTGTGGGTTGTGATACCCCCTGTCATGTCTTTGTTTCATAGAATGGCTTTTGCTATTCTAGGTCTCTTCTGGTTCCAAGTGAAGTTTTGGAATCTTCTTAGTTCTGTGAAATACACTGTGGGGATTTCAATTGTGTTGCATTGAATCTATACAACAATTTTTTAAGTATGGCCATTTTCACTATATTGATGATTCCTAATTAGGAACAAAGAATGTCTTTCCATTTTCTTATATCCTCTTCAATCTCTTTTTTCATAATGCTGCAGTTTTCAACGTAGAGGTCTTGTACTTCCTTCATTAGATCAATTCCTAGAAACGTCTTTCTTTCTTTTCTTTTTTTTTTTTTTGAATGCCATTTTGAAAGGAATTCTTTCCCCAATTTCTCACTCAGCAATTTTGGTATTTGTGTGCAAGAAAGCTATTAATTTTTGAACTTTGAACTTGTATCCAGCTACTTTACTGAATCTTTCAATTAAGTCCACAAGATTTTTAGCAAATTTCCAAGTAATTGAAAAGATGCTCACATCATGAATAATTAGGAAAGAAAAGTCAACACAACAATGAGCTACCATCTCAAATCTGTCACGTTATCTATAATAAAAACTGAAAGATGGGTTTGTAGGGATGTAAAGACATGAGAACACTTTTACACAGTCAGTGGGAAAGTGTGGCAGTGTAGTCACAGAGAAAACCATGAAGGGCCATTAAGAATTGAAAGTAAACTGTCATATGGTTCACCAGTTCTATTTCTAGGATTATATTCAAATAAATGTAAATCAGGATGTTGAGGAGGCAGCTTCATGCTCATATTCACTGCAGCATTAGTCACAATAGCCATTTCTGGAAACAATTTAAATGTTCCCCAGCAGAGGACTGGATATAGAAAATGTAGTGCGCACACACAAAAGAATATTATTCAGCCTTTAACAAAAGGAAATTCTACCATACGCTGCAGCACTCATGAATTTGGAGTTAATTCACATTAACTTAATTGAAAAAGAAAGACAGCTGCAGAGGTGATTCACTGCATGATTCCAATTATATAAAGTATTTAAAATATTTAAACTCAGAAGTAAATTTGAATGTTGGTAACCAAAATCTTGATGGATAGGTAAAAGGGCACCTGTTTTACAATGCGTATAAATTTTCAGTTACGCAAGATAAATTTTAAATATCTTCTCTAGATGAGATTGCAGTTAGTGACTGTGAAAAGAGAGGTCACTTAAAAACAGTAGGGACTCATGAGAAATCAATCAAACAACTCCTAGATGATGCAAAGAAGAATAACATAAGACAGATAGGAATCCAGGAAGTAGCAGGAGAAAATACAAATGACTTAAAAAAGCTGTTTACAGAATTAACAAAAGAAAACTTCCCAAACAGAGGGGAAGAATTTGACATTCAGATAACTGAGGCATATAGGACCCCAACTAGCTGCAATAAAAAAAATCTACACCTAGACATATAATGATCAAGATCCCAGAAACCCAACAGAAGAACAAAATACTACAAGCAGTAAGAGAAAAGAAACAAATCACATGCAAAGGAAAGCCCATCAGAATCACAGCAAAATTTTCAACATAAATCCTTAGGTCAAGGAGAGCCTGGAGTGAAATATTTCAAATACTAAATGAGAACAACCTCCAACCTAGATTGATGTATCCTGCAAAACTCTCTTTCAAAATGGGTGGGGAAATAAGATACTTCCATGACAAAAAAAAAACACCTGAGAAACTACATGAATACCAAACCAGCACTACTAGGAATTCTAAACAATAT